GTTTTTTTAAAAAAATAATGTTTATCTTCAAACTACAATGTTTCACCTACTGATTTCTGCAGACATGAAGATGTTAAAAGTTTTTTTAAAAATAAAGAAAACCGGTGAACATTTTTAAAAACGGACTCAGCTTTAAAATTATCTGAGGGTCCACAGAACTTGCTAGACTAACCTGAAACGTTAGGCCTATAATTGAAAAATATTTTCTGAAATGTGTAGGTCGCATTCCAGGGGTGGGTTTCACTTACCTTTGCTACCAGTTTGCTCTCTTCAAGAAGAAGCTTCTGCACATGCGCAGATCATATTTGATGACATCCAGGTGGGTGGGCGGAGCCTCCCACTGCCGCTACCGGTTTGCTCAAACCGGGCTGAACCAGTAGCAACCCACCACTGTTGCACTCCTAATCCAGGATCAGATGGGTGAGGCACAAATAATTTCTGTGGCTGAAATTTCTTTCTGTTGCTTGGGATCACTTTCTGCCAGCAGAGGACTCTGCCAGCATCACAAATAATTTTGCTTTCAGAAAACCAGCAAAATGGATGAAGAGAGGTAGAGAGGACAAGCCAAGTTGTATGATGCTGAATCCCAAGTCAAACTAGGAAGACAATTGAAAGAATGCAAAATCCGAAGGAATGTCCAACGGGAATTAAGCAGCCAAACAAGCAAACTATAACCTTTGCTTTCCAGATTTGTTTCAGTCATACGCTAGAGTCACATGTTGTACTAAGTGATAAAAGATAATTTGTTTGATCAGTTTGGTCTAGGCAAGGTTGGAAACCAGGACACTGGAAGTTCTAGTTCTACCTTAAGCAAGAAAGTGAAGGACATATTTATAAAATGGTAATGGTGAGATAAAACAAACAAACAAAATATAATAGGTGAAGCTGCCATACTAATTAGTTGTTTTTTTTTTTGTTTTTTGCTCAAGTGGGATGTGTGAGTGAAGCTAGTTGTGGTTTATTTTTGGTTAAGCAAACTATGATTTAACAAAAGTTTAGATATGTACCCTTGGAAAATATATAGAAAGAAAACAAATTTCCTTCTTCAAAATATACAGCAGGGACTTTTCTTTTATAAGCCCAGGAACATATTTTAGGACACAGGAAACTGACACTCATTGGGTCAGACTGTCCCTCAATCTAACCATATTTTTCTAAACTACACTTCCCATCATCCTTCACTATTAACTAAGTTGGGTAGAACTGCTGGAAGTTGTAAGCAAGACCTGGAATCCCTTCTGGTTCTCCACCATTAAGCCTGGCTGGAATTATCGCTGCTGACTTTTAGACTTTCAACCATGATAAAAAAAAAAAAAAATTACAGCTTCAATGGAGATGCTATTCAGCTTTCAAAATTAAACTGGGTGCAAGGCAAATGCCCTACCCATGAACTCTATTGCTTTATTTTTTAATTTTTTTAATTTTTTTGTTATTTTCTCTGCAGTTATGATGTACACATGGGCAGTCAACAGCATCCTGTTTGAATTCAAAAATATTAAGCCAGGATGGCCTTGGGTAAAATTGGATGGAAAGATCACTACAAAGATTGTAAACCAGCCTTCCAATATGTCCTGGAAGAGTGAAATGACAAATTGCTTCTAAAACGACATGGAGAATCATTAAGTCCATCTTAATATGCTATCCCTGCAGGGGTGGGTTCTACATTTTTTTACTACCGGTTCTGTGGGCATGGCTTATTTTGTGGGCGTGGCTTAGAGGTCATGTGACTAGGTGGGCATGGCTAGCTGGTCAGAGTCATTTCTGGAAGGTCCTCGCACTTATGACCAGTCCTCGCACTTACGACCCGACTCATTTGTTTGCTTTTAACACTGATCAGCTGTAGGACGGCCCTTTGAAGCCCCGCGGCAAGAGTTTAAACAGTTTTTTTCCCTCTAGTCATTAGCTGGGACTCAGGAGGCAGCAATAGATTGGGGGTGGGACCAAATAAAAGGTAAGAATAACGTGGGGGGGAGAGAACCGGTTCGGTGACATTATATCGTCACCGCTACCGGCTCGGCCGAACCGGACCGAACTGGGAGAAACCCACCACTGTATCCCTGGTATGTGATGTTTTGTATACATACAGAGAAAGAAGCACTCTTGTAATCTTTGACTTTTAGGCTTGCTGTCAAACATCAGCCATAATACTAATGACTGTTTTGAACGATATGCAGGTTGTATTTATTTTATTTTATTTTATTTTTCAATTTATATACCGCCCTTCTCCCTGAGGACTCAGGGCGGTGCACAGCCAGAATTAAAAACATGAAATACAAATATTAAAAACAATTAAAATCTATATAAATTTGGCCCAAAATTTAAAAAACCACCACAAACCAATTAAACATTTAAAAATTTTAAAAAATTTTTAAAAATTACATGAATGACTATTTTATATGTGAAATTATAACTGAAATATTTCTGCACCTATATTGGTTCTGTCAGGAAGTTTCTCCTTAGTTTTAGGTTGCTTCTCTCTTTGTTCAGTTTCCATCCATTGCTTCTTGTTTTGCCTTCTGGTATTTTGGAAAATACATTGCGCCCCCTTCTTTCTGGCAGCCCCTTAAAAGCCTGTTGCCTATCACACTCTTGGGCAAAGCATGTGAGCCATTTCCTCCTTTCAGTGGTCCATGAAAGTGCATTTATAGTATGTAGAGAATAAAGTTGAAAAAAGGTGAACAACATTTTTACAGAACGATAGATACATTGAGACTGGGTGTGACAAGAAATGGCTGGGAGGGGAGGGGCCAGGCGAGGCACCCCTTGATGTGAGTGACATTGGGTTGGCCATGCCTACCCAGTCACATGACCATCAAGCCACACCCACAAAATAAGCCACACCCACAGAACCTGTAGTAAAAAAAAATTAGAACCCACCCCTGATCGTTACCTAACTGCGTGGAGACCTTACCTTATGATTCAGGCTTGGATGAAAAGCCAAAACTTGTATTTCTGACCGTACTTCCAGACATTTTACTTTGCCTGTTGAAGCAGAGATCTACTCAAAACCAAGCTCTTCTAAAAGTGGATATCAATCCAAAGGAAGCAGGTATTAATATACCTGCAAGCAAATGCCAAGCTCCAAAGTAGATTGAAGATCACTCATAAGAATAGAGTTTATACTGGCGGGCCAGCCCCACAAAATAGAATAATGGAGTTGGAAGGCACCTTAATGGTCTTCTAGTCCAACCCCGTTTAAGGCTGGAAACTCTATACCATTTCCGACAAATGGTTGTCCAATCTCTTCTTAAAAAAACATCCAGTCTTGGAGCACTCACAACTTCAAGGAAGACAAGGGAGCGAATCTCCCTTGTCCGTCCGTCCCCACCACCACCACTATACCATCTTCTCTCTGCTCAGCACGCCACCCAGCATCGCTTTCACACGATCCTTACCATTTGGCACCGCTTTTCACAAGTGATGGTGGAGGAAGGGAGCGCCAGGAACAGCTGTGGAAAAACCGGCGAACTCTGCTTCCCTCCCCAATTCCACACCCTTCTCCCCCTGCGCTACGCTTTCTCGTCCTTTTGCTCCCACGCTTCATCCCTCATGCACTCGCTGAGAAAACGTGGCCTTCACCAGCCATAGGGGCGATGATGATGATGATGATGATGATGATGATGATGATGATGATGATAGAAGCCAAAAAGCGGCTTTCTCTTTAGGCGGGGAGGGGGGGGCTACCCCCTCCCTTTACAGATGTCAAAAAGAAGCCGGCACTCCTTTGGCGTGCGGTAGATGGCGCAAAAGCTCTTTCCTTGCCCAATCTTAACCCTTTCGGATCGGTCCAGCGCGCCTCTTTGTAGTTCCAACTGGGCATCTCTCTTCTTCCCCGCCCCCCGTCGCCCCCCCCCCCCCGCCCCTCCCCGTCTGTGTTGCCACAAGCCCTCCTTTCCCTCTCCTTTTTCCCCCCCCTTCCCCCCCCCCCCCCCCGGCCCCCAACACACACACACCGCTCTGGGCTTCTTCTTTTTTTTCCCCCCACCCTTTCCTTTCGAGCAACTTAAGATCCACGGTTGGGCTCTTAATCTCTAGGAGAGGGGAGGGGGGAAATTAAAAACTGGGTGGAGTGGGGGGGACCAGGAGAGGAAGCCAGAAAAGACCTTTGATGGGGAAGGAAAAGACTCGGGAAGGGAAGGCGTCTTTATTGCTTTTGGGGTGGACGCCCAAATCGACGCCAGTTCCACCAGACGTGCTAGTTCCCACCCCCCATCCTCCTTTGATCGCTGGTATTAGAATCAACCTTAACCGCACCACCGTCGTTATCCAAGACCATGCAAGTCCGAGGGCAACCCATGGAGCCGTGAATGGGGGCGCGGGAGGGGTGAGAACAAGGTGCCCACCAGCGCAGGTGTTCTTGGGTCCGGCTGCCCTCCTCCGCGCATGTATATGGTGCGCTGAGCGATCGTTCCAGGCTCCAGCGCAGCTGCGTCCTCTCTTCCTTCTTACCGTCCGCCTGCGGACATGGAGACACGTCTGCTTCAACGGGTTCTCGGCTGTTTTTTGAAGATGGTGGTGAATCCTATCCCGCGGGCATCCGATTTAGGGTATTAAGGGTTTTTATTTTATTTTTATTTTATTTTATTTTATTTTTTCCTACTGGAAGGTTAGCTTTTTTTCTAACCTTCTCCCAAAAATAATAAGAAGAAAAAAGAACAATAATAATTCATCCCACTAGAAAGCCCACCACCAGGAACACCCACCCACCCCCAAGCCAAGATTTCCTAAAAAGAAGCGGTGAAAGAATAAGGAAAGGGGAACGTTTGCTCCAGAGTCTCCAGCAAGCGGGGAGAGAGAGAAAGAGAGAGAGAGAAGCTTGTCAATTTCGAGCCGCGTCTGGTCAATTTCGAAGCGCTCCGCTCCTGAGATTTGCTTTCCGCGGCTCGTTTCGTGATTCTTTTAAAATATACCGTTTGGATTCGGTTCTTCTGGAAACAACCGGCCCCCCCCTCCCGCCCCCACCCCCTTTCCACTCCAGCCTCATTCCTCTCGAGAGAACGGGGAAGCTAGTGGCAAGGCGTTCGAGGCAGCCTCGGGCTGGCTGGCGGCAGAGTCGGCTTGCTTGAGCCGAGAGCCTCGCTGCCCCCGCCGGAGAGATGGTTGAGTCCTCCTCGTCAAGGTTGCTGTGGTATCCCAGAAACGCCGTTCACTTGGAGCTGTGACCGCGCACCATCAACACACACACACACACACACACACACACACACACACGCCGCTCCGCGCGAACTCCTCCACTGCGCCTTGGACCGAAGCGAGCAAGGAGGAGAGGAGGAGGAGGAGGAGGAAGAGGAAGAGGAGGAAGAAGAAGGGGTGGTGGGGCAACGGCGAAGGCAGGCGAGCAAGCCAGCCAGCCAGCCAGCAAGCCAGCAGTTCCTTCCTATTGGGGGTGACGGCGTGGGGGGAAGCTCGTTCGCTCCGCTCGTTCGCCCGCTCGGAGGAGGAAAAGATGCAAAGGATTTCCTACTACTGCAAAGAGACCACCTGGCCAAGGAAAGCCGACGCCGTCGCCGCAGATCTGGGGCAAAGGGGATGTGGGAAATGCGGCCGCCCGGACTTGTGCAAAATCTTGAGCAAAATCATGGGGATTAAAAGTGGATTTACCTTGGGGAACCTCGTCTTTTTCTGGATGCTCTCCTCTGTGAAAGGTAAGGGCGCGGGGCAAAGGGATGTGACAACCCCCCTCCCCTCTCCAGGAGAAGCCGGAGGGGAGAGAGAAAGAGAGAGAGGGAAAAAAAATAAAAATAAAGGATTGCAAGTGAACGCCAAGGAGGCTGGTAGGGATGGTGGCCGGAGATTCGGGCTTTTGCCCGAGGTGTGAGGACGCCGCGTTGTCCTTTCTCAAGGTTTTTCCCTCGTTTCTGCCGCCGAACCTCGTTTTATTCCGCGAATCCGGAATCCGATGTGCTTGGCCAAATCAGCGGTCACTGGGGAAAGAGGGAACGTGGAGAGGGAGCGAGCGAGGGAGGGAGGGAGAGAGGGAGATGGGATTGAGGTTTCTTTTCTTTTCTTCCCATAAAAAGAAAGGGAGAGAGAGAGAGAGAGAGAGACAGAGCGGGGTGTGTGTGGGGGGGGGGGTTGAGGGAGGCGAGAGGGAATCCAGGCTCCCTCAACTGCGATAGGAAATGCCGTTTGCTTGCCAAGGCTGGCCGTTCAATGCAGCGACTGAAATTTGTGCCGAATAAATATTCTTGCAGGACGCTCGACCGGAGACGTGAGTTGGGTCCTGCGTGCCACTGAAACAAGTGGATATTCCGACAAAATTAGCGCCGGAGGAGTCATCATCTTTCATTCTCTCTCTCTCTCTCTCTCTCTCCCCCCCCCACCCCCGTCTCCCCCACAGTCAACCCTTAGAAAGTGAGGCTAAAAAAGCAAGGCAAAACACTATCTATCTATCTATCTATCTATCTATCTATCTATCTATCTATCTATCATCTATCTATCAATCAATCAATCAATCAATCTATCTATCTATCTATCTATCTATCATCTATCTATCTATCTATCAATTATCTATCAATTATCTATCTATCTATCAATCTATCAAACTATCAATTATCAATAATCTATATATCATCTATCTATCAATTATCTATCTATCTATCTATCTATCTATCTATCTATCTATCTATCTATCTACATGAACACACATACACACACAATATTTTTGTTTAGACACACAAGTAGACCTTGGTGGAGGCAAGGGCTGGCAGATGCTGTTCATTTTCCTTGAAGGAGTTTCTCCTTATTGTTGTTTTAATGCCAACCAGCTTCCCCCTCTTTGTAAGTTAGGAAGGCTGGGGGGAGTGAGACTCACAAAAGGTTTTCACCAGCCTGGGTTGTAGGTTGGATAGCAGAGTGTGTGGTAGTGGGTCGACTGAGTCTTTCTTTTGTTGTTGTGGTGGTGGTGGTTGTTTAATTAAGCATTTCTGTAGACCTGATCAGCCAGGGATGGCCACAATCCTGCTAATTTTATCTGCCCACCCCCCCCCCGAAAAAAAAGATCTCTCAAGAAGAGAGGTGGGCAGCAGGAGGCACTTGGGAAGGTTTGGAGATCAGAGCATTTTTGGCCAAGTATGGGGACAATGGCCTTTCATAAATCTGACTGAATCTGAAGACTTTCCAGAAATACTGAATTTGGGAGATCTCAGGAAAAGAGATAAACATGGCTGGAAGAAGAGACAGTCTCTTTTTAAGAAATCATGCTTGCAGAATATCTATCTATCTATCTATCTATCTATCTATCTATCTATCTATCATCTATCTATCTCCATCTATCTCCATTTATCTTCTATGAATCTATCATCTATCTATCTATCTTCTATCAATCAATCAATCAATCTATCTATCTATCTATCTATCTATCTATCTTCTATCAATCTATCATCTATCTATCTATCTCAACCTTGCCATCCAATCTCTCCTACGAGCCTGGTAGCAAAAGGGATCAAGATGAACCTCCCAGGAGTTTGAAGAAATCTAGAGTTTGGATTCCTTCTTTCCCACTGGATGCTTTGGCTGTTCTTTTGAAAGGAGGTTGCATTTTCTCTTCTTCTCCTCCCTGCCCAGCCAATACTGAACTGGGTCTTTTTTTAATGAAACACTTGATTGTCTTGCTTCGCAGCTGGTTCAGTCCCCATTTGCATGGCGGGAGGGGTGAAGGAAAGGATGGAGCAGGATCATTCAGGGTTGGTTAGGGCTCCTGGTGTTGGTGGGGGCGGAGGGGGGAGAGGAAGGGATTTACCTCATTTTCCCCCCCACCCCCTCCAGTCCTGGCTTAGAAAAGGACATGCCTGGAATTTTAATGCACCTTCTAATTACAGAAAGCTGGTCCTGGTTTGTGGCATTGACGCAATCTGCTCCTTCACCGTCCTTTTGCCTAATTTCTTCAGAGAAATGATTCAGCTAAGAGATTGAAACACCATTTGTTGAGAGTCAGAAAGAGCTGTTAGTGGAGTATGTGGGGGAGAAAAGAGAGAAAAAGAGAAAGGGAGAAGGAGAGAACCAGATAGGTGTGTTGATCAGATTAGGAAATAGCACTGCTCATTAATAAACATCCACCATCCTGCTCCCATCTGAATTCCCAGTGTGTGACTTGCTGGTTTGAATATGGCTACATTTTACCCACGTGAGGTCTTTGAATAAAACACACACACACACACACACACACACACACACAGACACACCTATATTGATGCGGGGAAGAAGGGAGACACCAACAGACTAGAAGAGTGAAACAAGGTTTACATGGAGGCGATGTGCTACCATAATTAAAGAATCAGGCAATTTTTCCAAAATGTCTAAGACGTATAAATACTTCATCTGCATCTGCATCAGAGATGAGTTGCCCAGCACTTGTTGGACCAAGATTGCAATATCTTAAAAAGTGGGACGGAAAAAAGCCAATTAATACTGAACTGGTTCAATGGGAACAAAAAAAAAAGGGATTTTTTTTTTTAAAAGTGCATGCATTATCCTTGGTGGATCACAAATGGTTTGTGTGTTTGAAAAGACCATCACAAATGCAGTACCACTTTAGATTACTTCAAACAAAATGAGTTTTTTCCCTCTCATACTAGAGTTAATTCACTTTCTATTTGTACTTGTAGTAATAAGTCGTAGAAATAAAGTAAATGAGAAATTGTGATATGAAACACTAGACTACAGCTAAGATAGGAAGAGCCTTTCATGAGGTTGTACCACCTCAACTAAAATTTAGGAAGTAGATTAAATGAAATTTTATAAAATCAAGAAAGTAATGAAAGCTGAAGGAAATTGGTGCTAGGAATCAAAAGATGGCCCAGAGAGTTGGAAATGAATACTTACTTAGCACTTCCAGGGGGTAGGGGAACTAGAAGCAATGGCTCAAGCCATAGGAAAAGAGCACAGTGCCATCACTACTAATACTAGTAAGGGGGGAAAAAATAGCACAATATGAAGTTTGTGCAAATGAGATGCCACCTAGTTCAGTGTGATTTCTTTCCTCATAAAGATGCTTGGGACTACAATATGATTTAGACTTACTTTAAGAGTATATGATGGCTTCACAATGAAAAATGAATTAAAAATGAATAAGTCTGGGGACAGTGCCAGATTTTAATGGAGGAGAGAGTGTGTAAAGGTGTATCAAACCTCTCTTGACAAACTGGACATAGGCAAGGAGATAGGCACAACTGGCCTTCAAGGTTGAAGTAACTTCTAATAAGTAGATTGATGATAGAAAAGCTAATGAAACCATTGAGAAGAAAAACACCAGGGATTGCATTGTTTCAAATGCATGCCTTATTTATATTGAAATTAAGGTTCCATTTGTATAACTTTTCTCCCCATCCTACCTGAAATAGGTTTGAAGGCCACTCTTTCAGGCAGAGGAGATTTTTTTTTCCTGCCCCATTTCTGGGAAACAAACTGGGTTTATTCTGTCGCTAGGAGAGTTGGCATTCATAGGCCCAAGAAACATTGTGGAACATTTGTATAAGGAGATTAGAAATAAAGGCTGCAAGTTAAACTTCTGAAGATGTCCCCACTGCCAGCCCTACTATCCAGCATGTGAGAGAAGGCCTTCTTCTTGGGTCACAAGTTAAAGAATGTTCTCCCAGTGAAGTCAATTTAGCCTTCACTCTCCCAGTATCTGTCAATTCTAAAAGAAATCTATACTGACTCTTCACAGGACAGATACTGAATTTGAAGCTCAATTACTTTGGCAACCAAATGAGAAGAGAGGGCACATTGGAAAAGACTGATGTTGGGAAAGATTGAAGGCAAAAAGGAGAAGGGGACAGCAGAGGAATAAATGGTTAGATAGAGTCATTGATGGAGTGGGGATGGGTTTGAGAAGCAGACTCTGGGAAACAGTGGAGAATAGGGGCACCTGGCATGCTGTGGTCTATGGAATTGTGAAGAGTCAGAAATGACTTAATAACTAAACAACAACTCCCAATATTTAGGAAAACGACAAATGCATTGCTCACCATCCCTTTAATTGTTATTGATTTTAGATTTGAATTACAATTTATTTCACTATCAAGTTTTATATTTTGTGTAAGTCTCCTTGGATGTCTATCTAAGCAGAAAGGCCTGCATATAAGTGTAATAAATAATCACTGTTTCCAAGAAAACATTAAATCTCCTAGGATATTTGGATAGAAATGTTTAAGCATCTAATAGGGTTAGTTATTTTGTCTCACTATTGATGTTGTCTTATTCACTGATACTATAAACCGATCAATATCTCAAACCGTTATTATCTCCTGTATAGAGCAAATCACTATTAAACCAATTTAACTAGATTAAATCAGTTTTTCTCAGAGTAGAAAAGATTGAAAGAGGATATAATCACAGCCTTTGAATATATGAAGGGCTGTGGCAGACAAAATGTTGCTGAAGAAGGCAGGACTGTAAACAGTGGGTAGGAATCTTGAGAAGACTTGTCAGCCAAATATTAAGATTTATTTTCTAATTGCTTGAGCTATTACTAGAAATAGGCTGCTGTGTGGGCTTTTCTTGCTTGAATGAATTTAAACAGACTACAAGGTTACCATTTTTAAGGAATGCTATAGTAGAAGATTCCTATTTCTGAGGATTATATCCGAGACATCTTCTAGTTCTAAAATTCTAAAATGAATGGTGGAGTTTTTGCATCCAGTTT